TCAGCCATCTGCCAGGGGTGTGCTTTGAGTAGGAGGGTAGGCTAGCTTGGAATTTCTCATCAGGAAGAGGCACTGAGTCTTGGAAAAGACCTTTTTTTTTTGTCCTTCCAAAAACAGCAACGAAACTCTGATTCCATCACACATTTTAAATAATCAGTACATAGCACCACTTGTGCTTCTAGTGCCTAGTACATTGCAAGTGGTGAAGAGCGCTTGCATTGGCGGATGGATTCACTCATTCACCATGAGCAGGTAAACAAACATTTGTCCGGTGACTGACCGGCTGAATGGATGATTTCCTCACTAACACCCTCACTTTTCCCACACGCTGTCACTACGACTTGTCGTTTTCCACATCCCTAATGGCTCCAGTGACCCTGTCCTGGACAACCTCCAGTTTGTTCAGGTCCCTCCAGAGCTAAGCATTTAAGCGAGTGACACCGGGATCAGGCCTCGTGATGAGCATCAGTTGAAACGGAACACAAAGTCCTGCCGTTCTGGCAGGCCAGGCACCAGCGATGTCCTGGCTTACGTTTCCTTCACATGCATCCGCACGGGGCTGTTGGGAAACCAGGGGCAGAAGTCTGCCGTTTTTGCACATGTTGTGTTTTTGTTTCTTTATCACCCCTTTGGTGGGTGTTGTGTTGCGTCCTACGTATGGCCTCTGGACCTGAGCTCGTGCCAAGTACCAGACCAGCGATCTGTGAGCTAGGAAACGAGCCAGCTCATTTGAAGCGCATGACATCACGTTTCCTGAGGCGGAGAGGAAGGCCTCTTGCTAGAAAGCAGGGAGGATTTTGGCTCTTAGAAATTGGATTCAGTAACCTGAACTCGTTGGCGAAGGCCCAAGCCTCTAGCAAGCAGCTATCATATGGTCTGCAAAAAATCCAGATCCAGGGCCCCCCGCCCCCACTCTCCCCGTGGTCACCGCGGCCTTCTTTCAGAAACGCAAGCCTCTGGAGGGGCAGGGACAGCTTTCAGAAAAAGGGAGACACTATGAAATCTGATTAAACGTTTTAGAAGAGGTTAGATAGATTTTGATAAGAGATTTTTTTAAATCTTACTAACTTTTGTCATTTTAAATTTAGGGCAGTAGGGGCAATGCCGACTTCCTAGTGGAAAATTGTAAAGCCTGAATTAGCATTCTGTCCCCCCCCCAAAAAAAAAAATTGAGTCCTCTACCACTTTCTTTCCCTTTCAAGTTGAGTAAAATCGTATAATGTGCAGTGCTGGCTCCGCTGGTGTTAACTATTCAATTTGTAAATCGATTCTCATGGTAGTTCCTCTATTAACTTCAGAAATTGGCTCTGCACCACATAGACTGTTAGGAGCCGCGTGCGTGGGCCAGTGCCTCTGTGTTCAGTAAAAACAGTCCGGAGATGATTTTAAAAAACTAATCCCTAATACAGAGGCCCCGCAGCCGCCCCTCTGAATGCTTATCATTGAGTCCTGGGGTGGAAATTAAGCTGCTTAGAGTGGCCTTAGGAGCCATGAAAGAACAAGCTACAAAGCACCTTTGGGGGGTTATTACATTTGATACTCTTTACACCCTCAGAATACGGAGCTGTTTTTAGTTTTTTCAAAAGTTTATTGACTGAGACTCAGGAGAGAGGAGTTCCAAAGTCAAGATTAAAACCCCAGGCTTCTGGCAGACCTCTGCTTCCTCACCACCCACTCACAAACTGGGGGGTGCAGTGTGCCCGTGCGGGGACAGTGACAGACGGACGGACGGAGAGCCTGAGGAACAAGACCCGGGACCGTGCTTGCGTGTGACCCTCCTGTCATCATCTAAACTCCAAGTCCTCAGTCTAAGTCTGGATACTTCATCTTCTCTTTTGGGAAAACCGATCTGGTACTATTTGATCCCTCCCCGAAGGGGTGCTGGAGAAAAACATGAAATATTGATGACGTGCCTTAAGTTTCAGGGGAAGGAATGTTCCCGCTTACGGAAATTGGAAATGGATTCCGGCACACCCACGCGGCTTATCGGCTCAGCCAAGGTGGCACACTTCCCTCCGGGCCTGTCTGTGTGTGAAGAATCTACCGACCTGTGCCGCCTTTCTTTAGCGGTGTGTGCACCTGAGCGTGGAGCGATGCCTTATTCACGTGTCCAAGAAGGAAAGAGAGGGGCGAGGTGAGAAGAGGCGGTGGCCAGCGAGGCAAGGAGGGGAGGAAGGGAGGCGAATGTAACTGACAAGCCTGGGAGCCCGAGCTGCTACCCTGCAGGGCGTGGGCACCCCTGCGGTTAACCTGAACCTCGCTGGCCAGGACTCGCTGAGAACTGCGCCAAGCTCGGCTGTGGTCAGGTCCTCTCGGTGACAAGACGGTGGGGTGCAGAGCTGTTCACTTGGCACCCTTCACCATCACCAAGGTCACTGATAAAATATTAAGCTGATCCTATGCTCACGGCTCCATGAAGATCATCAGGAATGGAGGGAGGCCAGGGCGAGTGGCACTGATCCCCTACGCAGAGAGGGGCAAAGCCTGGCCAGCCCACGCGGGCAGGCTCGCTCCGGCCACACCACCACAAGGAAGCAGCCGGCGTGTGTTTCCTCTCCCTCAGAAGGTTTTCCTTTGCACACCGTCAGCCCTGATTCCTCGGGGACACAACGGAACAGGCCCCACTGTGCCATCTGTGTCCATTCTGACAGCGTTCATGTCACAATACACAATCATGGAATTCTACAAAATCTAAAAGAGTGGGATAAAATGTTACTGGTTACACTGATTAAAACGAAACTGACAACAGCAACAACAAAATCCCCCAGAAAACAAAAGGAAATCTCTGTTGATATTCACAGTGACACTTGACAATTAAAAAAAAAAAAAAAGTGGCAGCCAAATAATTGTCCTAGCGCTGCAGTTCACTGCCATGTTTTCAGAAATCCCCAGCGGTCTGGGGGAAAGAAAGTGCGGCTTTCACATCCTATGTGGTTCTCACAGAAGTTGCTCCCCACGTATGAACAAAAATACAAAAACAATGCAGAGACTAGGCACCAAGCTTGCTCAGACCGTGACGGAGTCCGAAGAGTCAGACTTCCGACTCTTCGAATCAGATCTGGTTTGTGGCAGAAGAACCTGGCTGGCGACATTAGTCCAAGGGGGCCAAGGAAGAAACACTTGACTGTTAATACGGAAGAAAACCATCAAGAACTAGAACAATTAAGAATTAAATATTGTTTTCTACTCTACTTTGAAGCTGAATTCCAGCTTTTCGTATTTGGAAAAGATAGGTGGCTGATCTCTGGGTAGAACTGCTCTCTCTTCCCAGGTCCGCCCTCCCTGCTCCTGATCCCATAGCTCAACGTTGGGGTGCAGGTATTGCTGGTTCAATTTTCTTGAAGTAGAATCACCATTTCTTTATATGTGGCCATGCCTCTTTCTCACAATGAGGTATAATTTTAGACTAACAATGCCTTTCCTTCGTGGGCTATGGGCTTGATCAATTGTGTGAGCAGGAAACAATGCAAAGTTCTGATAAAATCATACACAGACGAAAATCATTGCACTTGGAAACAGCAACAAAAAGCCCAGCCCAACCAGAGAGGGGCCAGCAAAACTCTCGGGAAGGGACTGTGCTTCCTGCCCTGGGCAGAGCGTCTGGACCTCCGGGTGTTCCGTCGAATTTGGTTGTTATTAAATGTCCAGAAGTGAAAGAGTCCAAAAGACACTGTAGGCTCTTTAAGGCTAAGTCTTCCCGGTGCTTCTACGAGATACAGGATCTCCTGGGCCACATATTACAAAGCAGGGGCTCCTCTTAGCAAAATGGCTAGCAGGAGCCCCCAAAACTCTGGAAGCAAGGGAGGATGGGCGCATACCGTGTCCTGTCCTGTGGATGAGAGAGAGAAACAGTAAGCAGGCTGGGAGGGCAAAGCTGCCCATCAACAGCCCTGTGGCCGGACGTACAGCCCCTTCCTCCCACTCTACCGCTTGCTCTCATTACATTCACCCCCAGCCTGGGCAGATGGGTGTGCAGCTTTCTCTGTGTAATTCCTACTTTCTGTGAACTCTGTGTCTCTGACCCTCTCTCCCTCTCCCTGCAAACTTCTCTCTCTCTCTCTCTCTCTCTCTCTCTCTCTCTCTCTCTCTCTCTCTCCTTATTCTTCTTTAAAAAATACATTTTTATTGATTTCACAGAGGAAGAAAGTGGGAGAGAGGGATAGGAACATCAATGATGAGAGAGAATCATTGATCGGCTGCCTCCTGCATGCCCCCCATTGGGGATCAAGCCTGCAACCCAGGCATGTGCCCTGACTAGGATTCTAATCGTGACTGCCTGGTTCATAGGTTGATGCTCAACCATTGAATGGCCAGGTTCTCTTTCCTTATTCTTTATCCTTCCTGCCTCTTTGTGCTTTCTGTCTCTTTCTTGATGGATATAAAGGCATGATGCTAGTCCAATCCTGCTACCCAGTGGTCCATATACTACTTCTTCCACATTTCTCCCACAATGCACCCTGTCCTCTCCCACCCAGTCCATGGTCCTGCCCCCTTTTGTACATTCAGACACAGTTCACACTCTGCTTACTGAGTTGAATGGGAAGATTACTTGTTACTTGAACCAATTACTCAAACAACTAAAATCTGACCTTCTAGTCAAAATTTGAGCACATGACATTGAATATGTTACTAATGTATTCAGGACGTTCTCCAGTAAGTGCTTATAATGGGTAAGATCAAGGTGTTTCTCGACTCTACTATCCTGAACTACTATCAATATTTTCTCCTTTGGGGTGTTCACTCCAGCTCATGTCTTCTTTGTAGTCCCTTTATGACGCTTTTGTAATCAATAAACTACTTGCACAAAATGTCTACATAAATCGGGTGGATGATTATATCCTGATGTTACAGGCACAGAGCCAAAATCAGTAATTTAAGGTTCAGGGTGGAAGGGATGGAGGTCAAATCATCATGAGCTGCTGAAGTGCCTTCATGTCACGCCCACCAACCCGGCCCACTGAAGCGCTAAGGTCTGCTACAGTGCCCGCCTCTCCCTGCGCCCACCTTCCCTGACCACCTCTGTGGGGTCAGAGTCTGCCTTTCGCTGTAGCCCATCATGTCCCTCCCACGAAGGGCACTTCCCTACTTACTGCTCCGGATTCTGACTAGGACTTGCTGACATTCTCGTAGATGACGTCACTGATGCAGAACTGCTGCTTCTTCTTCGTCCATATCAGCTGCACACACTGATGGATGAAAATGTACTGCTCCTGCAGCAGAAGCCAGGACACGTGTCAGAGCAAGATGTTGTTGTACAAATATGTGCAAAGATAGTATGCTGATACTATGACAGTGTTAAATATTATGACCTGATGTCAAAGGAACAAATTTTTATTAAGTAGGAGACAATTTTATAACTAGAAAATCTAAGGGAATCAACTGAAAAAATATTTTGAATAATAATAGAGCTAAAAGCAATAAATATTTAATGTCTATATGATGGACTATTTTGAAAAAAAGTCTATTACCTCTTAATATATCAAAATAAATTCCAAGAAGTTTAATAAATCAAACTTACAAAAATATAAAGGAAAATATAGGTTAATTCCTATATTCTGATTACTTTATGAAAGGGCTTTCTAAACTTCAAAGCCATGGAATAAATTAGAAATAAAACTTTCAACCTACTGTATGTTTTTTTAAAGTGATAAGTCATTTCATTGTGAACACAGATCCTATATAATAAAAGGCTAATATGTAAATTGACCGAATGGCAGTTGCTATGATGCGCACTGACCACCAGGGGGCAGATACTTAATGCAGGAGCTGCCCCCTGGTGATCAGTGTGCTCCCACAGCGGGAGCGCCACTCAACCAGAAGCCTGGTGAGTGCAGAGGTGGTGGCGGGAGCCTCTCCCGCCTCCACAGCAGTGCTAAGGACTGCTGAGGGTTCCCGACCTGTGAGAGGGTGCAGGCCAGGCTGAGGGACAACCCCCCCCCCCTCAGTGCATGAATGTTGTGCACTGGGCCTCTAGTAATAGCAATAAAGTGGAAAATAATCTAATTTTATATCCTATACAAAGAAGAATGGTTTAAATAATCAATGGTATGTCTATAATAAAATATCCAGTCTTTAAAATAAAATTTATATAATTTATATAATTTTGGGCAATTTGGGATAATACACATAGGAAAATATTAAGTGAAAAAGCAGAATTTAAAATTAGCATATGGACACATAGTCTGTGGGCATAATTGTGTGAAAGTTATACTTGAAGGAAGGCGGGATGAAATGTGCTGAAATATTGAGAGTTGCTGTCTTTGTAACATAAAATCAAGATAACCTCGTGATCTTTCTCCTTCTTCTTTATTGCCCAGACTTTCTCCGTAAGGAATAGCATTAGAAATAACCTTTCCATCAGAACCAGTCAAGATGTTCCTAGGATCTTGAGCATTTTGTATGACAACTTTAAACAAAGGGTAAGGTTAAGACTTCGAACCTCACTGGGTTGATTCTTCAGCCTCACCTGTGTTTTTCAACGAGATTGGGAGAAAATATAGGCCCTTATTTAGTGGTAATATCTCATCAATAACTGAGCTACCCGCCTCTCCTTATTATACATCACTCCGTGGCTTCCAGGGCTGTGTCAGCACTGGGCATAATAAGGCAGAGACCTGGTCACCTGGTTTCTCAACCCAAAACTGACCAGTGGCCAAACTTTGCCTAAAAAAAAAAAGGAGCCAGACCACAGGAAAAGTAAATAAAGACTATTTATGGGCAGGTCCCTGAGGTCCCTGAGAAATCTAAGCTCCGATCAGGACAGGCTACAAAAGCAAAGCCCTACCTGACCTCCAGCGGAAGCCCATTAGAGGAAAATCAAACAAAGCATTTAGTAAAAATAGAAGAGAGCCCCAGGGAGGTGCATGTTCTCCACACGGCCCACTTCACAGTTGGAAGCATTGCCTAGATTTGCCATATCACAGAATGTGTGCTTCACGGCAACGGCAATTCATGAACGTTGTCATTCACAGTGTACAGACGAGGAATGGAGCTTGAGAGGCAAAGCGAGTTGTGCAGTGGCCATGCGGGACCCAGGCCTTCTCCAGGGGGCTGGCCCGACAACCCTTCTCTCTTTACCCTTTGCTGCTCTGTGGAGCGGCCATGGGAGGGGGTGGGGGGTCGGGGGAGGTTGGTCAGGTGAGAAAGGGGAAGAGAACATGTTAACAATAGTCCATGCCACAGGTTGTGTGCATCTGAGGACCTGACCCACATAATCAGTTACGTCTACTCTTTGTATTTATTTGTTTTTTGGGGGAGAGGATGGCATCTCACCCCGAGCCTGACTGGGGCTATGCACCTTCTGTTTTTGTGGGGGGTTGAAAGTACTTAACTTTATTTCCGCTATTTTTAGAAGGGGGTTGGGTGATAGAATCCAGGTGATGGGAAGTAACGGGATTCTAGTACACAATACATGCAGGTGGTCGATAGATATACACAGAGCCAGAAATCAGCTGGGGATCATTCCGGCCTCTTGAAAATCGTTAGTGTCACAGGGTGCCCTAGGATGAGAAAGCTAAGAAAATCGTGTTCCACTCTGCTCTTCACTTACTCACAGCAGCAAAGTAGAAGGGAGCAGGACTGGGCTGTGAATGGGCTCAAGGAGGATGCTAGGAAAATCCTAACATTCAAAATACAGGTCGCATCGCAAAGAGGGCCACCACGAGGAAACACAAAGGGAAGTGGACAAGATGTTGCAACATAAATAAACAACTGAACTAGAGGAGACCTGCTGCAAAATCCCGAGGGAACTCCAGGATGAAGCTGGAACACTTGGGGAAAATCAGTAACCCGGGGTGACCTCACCTCTTTTGCTGACTTTGCATTTTCCCACCAGAGTTCAGGGAAGGGATATCGTCCTTAAAAAAGACTGTTTCCCTAGAGATGGCAACTTAAAATGCTGCTGTCAACAAGGAAGCCAAACATTCAAAGTTTGGGGCAAGAAAGTTAGGGGGGAAGCAACATTTTCTCAGCCTTGCAGAGAGGCCCATGGCCGACCGAGTGCTGCGTGATTACCACACCTGGAGAAGATCCCGGCGTGGAGTCAGATGGAGGGTCTGCCGGGGAAGGTAGTATTTAAAAAGGGATTAAGGTCCTGTACTGGGAAAGTCAAAAGCAAGCAGACTATAATCAAAGTCTATAAAGTTCTAAAAGCTATAAATTAGGTCACTGTGGCAGACAACTGATCAAATCCAAAATACTTAAAATAAGGAGCCGCCCTTTGAAGCTGGGGATTAATACACACATGGGGAATTATAATCACATATTAGGATATTTAAATTATGGAAGCGAAAGCCAAAACTATGGACTGATCCATGAAGCACTGTTTACTCATTAGGTAGCAGGCTTCTCTGGGAAGTCAGGGCCTTTAAACAAGGCCACATTCATGTCCCCACAGCAGGAGAATCCAAGGCGGCAGGGTTGGGGCAGGAGTGGGTAAGGAAGTGAGGACACATACGTGAGGACTTGCTCATCACGCGTGAGAGCTGAATGTGAATGGGTTGCTTTTCCGCAGTGGCATGATCCTGCTTTGGCTCAGAAAGAAACACACTGGAACGATTGTGCCAAGCCTTGCTCCGATGGGAGCGGGGATGCAGGAGAGAAGTCAAAGGGATGGTGAAGGAGAAACCCTCCCAAGCCTTGAGGCCTAAGCCATTACTGCAGGCTTTTGGGTTATACTGACATCTAGTGGTGATTCACATGAAAAGCACGAGGAAGACCAAGGCTGCATTCAATTCCTTGGAACTTGAGTAAGAAGTCTGGCCAGGATGTGTTCTACTCTGTTCCGCCCACACAAACGCCTTCAAAAAAAAGAGATGACTCTACACCTGAAGCTGAGAAGCTTCGGGTATGGCTGGGTGACTGGGACTGTGCACAAGCGATGGTGCTTGCTTTTTGAGGCCCACGCAGGTGCACACCCACTGTGGCTGTGAGGTGGTGCGAGTCTGTCTGCTGACCCCAGGCTGCCACTCCAGCCCTTGGGCATTCCCAGACTTCCGGAGGAGGGGACCTGCGGGTGGTGGTGGGGGAGGGGGAGGAGGGACGGATTTTTCTAGGCATGCTGCCATGTTGTTACAATGCTAAAGCCATTCATTTAGGTCAAGGGAAATGGACGTGTTGGGAGTTTGGAGATCCTTAAAATCATAAGGGGGACAGAAAGCATGAGTCCAACCCCTGACCATTATCTAAAGTGAACTGGGACAGACACTCACATGGTGGACAAACTAGTGACAAACTTTTGAATGAAATCTAGCATTTCAAATGCAGGTGAGATCATATCAGTCCCACAGCATCCACTCGGTGGCATGTCCCCAGATTGGCTGCCCTGAGCTCTCACCCTGTTCAGAGAGACCTTCGTCTATTACGGATAGATCCGTGTGCTCTGAGTTATAAAGGGCACATGGCACCAATAGAAGCGCAGGCACTGCACACTGAACCGATTTTAGAAACGAATACCTGTTTCTCCTGGACTGTGAAGCCGTTCGAATGTGCACAATAAGACACTGGAAATAGCAGATGCAAGACTGAAACAGGAGGTGAAATAGTAGGAAGTTTTTTTCAGTCAAGGTCAAATTTATAGATCCCTATTGATTACATCCCTACCTCTGTCTGTACCATGGACATCCGGTATGACCTCATTTCTGACACCAGCCCTAAGATGTCCACAAACTCGTGCTCCCGAATGTGCTGCAAGAGCCTGTCCAGGGCGATGAACGTTCCCGTCCGGCCGACGCCAGCGCTGCAAGAGTGTGCAGACAGCAGGTTACTCACACAGTGCTTCCACATGGGGGAGGGGGGAACAAATTGGCGATCAAAAAACAAAACAGGTAGCACCATTGAGAAAAAAAAGAAGACTAAACTCCTGAGAATGTTTTCCACTTCATTTTAACATGCAGTTGTGGTGGGTGTGTCTTCTAATATCACATTTGACTATCACTGCTGCTGCTCTTCAAGAGGTATGGGTCTGGTCCAGCCAGAGTGGCTCAGTTGGTTGAGCATCATCCTGTGCACCGAAAGGTTGCCGGTTCAGTTCTTCATCAGGGCATATACCTGGATTTTTCGATCCCTGGTTGGGGCATGTATGAAAGCAACCACTCAATGTTTCTTCTCTCTCTCTCTCTCTCTCTCTCTCTCTCTCTCTCTCTCTCTCCTTAAGAATGTCCTCAGGTGAGGATTAAGAAAAAAAGAGGTATGGGTCTGCACTAGTCTGGGCCACACCTCTCTCCTCCACCTGGAGCTCTCTGCTTCCTGAGAAAGGTAAGAAGTGCCCATGGGGCTGGTGAGAGAGCTGGTTCCTTCCCTCGGGGAACTCGACACATAAACAATTTCAGTCTCCTGAGCAGCCGCAGAGTTAAGCCCACACCCAGCTCAGAAGTCTAGCTGAGATGCCCACTCCTCAGCTCCAGCTCTGGGGCCAGACCCATTTGTGGGCCTTCAACCCTGGGTTGAGTTCACCATTCCAGACCTTCCTTCCAGCACATCTCCCTTCCAGTGAGTTCTAACCTGTTTCCATCCCCCAGTAACCCTTTAGGTAGTTGCCTCCAAATCAAATTTAATATTTGGACCCCATTCATTACAGCCCCCGAATCCTAGTGCCCAGAGAGAGTAGAGGGAAGTGTGATTTGTGCTGACCAATTGCCCAGCACAATGGTTCATGTTCAGTCAGCCCTTCTTTTCTTCCAGTCATGCAGACGGTAGGGCCAAGTATTTTCAAAATCTGAAGTATCGTATGTGAGAAAAGAGGAAGCCAAAATTGATTTCTATGCAGAACTGGCTGGGAGAGAAATCCAACAGTAAAAGCCTGTAGCTCAGAGCCCTACTTTGCTTTTTGTACTGGACAACCCTGCTCACCCAGGACTTATCTGTCGTTCTTCCCCTGTGTGAACACTTGTAAAGTCACATCCAGAGTTGTCTCTGCTGTGAAAGGAACCATGAGTTTGACCACATGGTTGAGCAGCTTCATTTTCGGCTCTTGGACGGAGCCATTGTGAGACTAGATCATTTTCATTTGGTGAAGCAAAGTTTTTAACCTGTGAATGCCTATGGTGGACTGATAGCAAGGGTCCTTTCCCTGGTCAGAAACTTGATAGCCTTAGAAGCATTTTTCTGTCCAGGGAGACACATCACATGCTTCTCTCTCTCTCTCTCTCTCTCTCTCCCTACTCATTCTAGTTCACAGAGGCCCTGGTGCTAGGTAGGTCCAGGATTATAGATCTACTAGAGGCCCAGTGCATAAAAATTTGTGCACTGGGGGGGGGATGGGGGGGGTCTCTCAGCCTGGCCTGTGCCCTCTCGCAGTCTGGGACACCTCGGGGGATGTCCACCTGCTTGCTTAGACCCACTCCCCAGGGGATTGGGCCTAAGCTGGTAGTCAGACATCCCTCTGACAGCCGGGAGCTCTAAGGGGATGTCCACTTTCCAGCGGGGAGCAGGCCTAAGCTGCAGTTGGACATCCTTAGCAGTGCTGAGAAGGTGGAAGAGGATCCCACGACCACTGCTATGCTGGCAGCCATCAGCCTGGCTTGTGGTTGAGCAGAGCTCCCCCTGTGGGAGAGCACTGACCACCAGGGGGCAGCTCCTGCATTGCGCGTCTGCCCCCTGGTGGTCAGTGTGTGTCATAGTGACCAGTCATTCCCAGTTGTTCTGCTGTTAGGGTCAATTTGCATATCACCCTTTTATTATATAGGATAGAGGCCTGGTGCAGGGGTGGGGGCCGGCTGGTTTGCCCTGAAGGGGGTCCTGGATCAGGGTGGGGGTCCCACTGGGGTGCCTGGCCAGCCTGGGTGAGGGGCTGATGCCTGTTTCCAGGCTGGCCAAGCCCCACAGCGTGCACCCTCACCCCATGGGGGTGTGGCAGCCTGGGTGAGGGGCTGATGGCTGTTTTCAGGCTGGCCATGCCCCCCAGTGACCCAAGCTCCCAGCCTCTCCTTTTTTTGCAGGTATCTGAGATTTATTTATCTTCTATAATTGAAACTTTGTAGCCTTGAGCAGAGCCCAAGTCTGGCTGGAAACGTGGGTTGCTCCTGGCAACCCAGGCTCCAAGCCCCTCCTTGAGCAGAGCCCAGGGTGGCTGGAAGCAGGTATCTGGGATTTATTTATCTTCTATAATTGAAACTTTGTAGCCTTGAGCGGAGTCCAAGGCCAGCCAGGGAAGGTGGGAAGCTTGGCTTCCTCCATTGCTGGGGGCAACCCAAGCTTCCTGCTCGCTCCAGCTCCGTGGCTGCCACTATCTTAGTTGGGTTAATTTGCATAGTCGCTCTGATTGCCTGGTGGGTGTGGCTTGTGGGTGTAGTGGAGTGATGGTTATTTTGCATATTTCTCTTTTATTAGTGTAGATTTGCTTAGGTTGACATGGCTGCCAGTGCTTTCTCTAACATCTTTATTTTACTTCTATCTCTGATATACAATATGAGCATATTTATAGCCCCTGCTCTTCAGAGATTGCATAAAAATTTTACTAAAATATGTCACACCAATGGATTTTGGTGAAGCTTTGCTCACTTGGTAAGAATAAAGCTTACATTCAAAGATAATTCTTTTGATAAGGAATTAGCAGGGTCCTTGATTTTTGCTAATACAGTAGGTCATAAAGACCCCTTTCATTTGAACTATCTGGAAATTTAAAGGCAATCTTGAAAAGCAATCATAGCAACTCTGTTTATTTCAATGAGCTGAGCATTCTCATTTCTTCTTTCCCTCACCTGGCTTTTATGTCTGTTTATATTATTCTGGGCTGTGGTTAGCTATTTTTAACTTGAGCTTGCATTTGGCCATGTTATAAACCATCAGAGTCCTTGACAGGATAGGATAAGACCATGCAGTGCTTAAAGTCATGGCCATGGAGAATGCCTGAACCCTAACTCCTCCAGGTTTGAGTTGCATGAACTTGTGTGAACCCTTTAACCTCTCTACTCCTCAGCTTTTTTCATTCTAAAAGGAGAATAATAATATCTATCTTAGAGGATATAAATGGCTATATTATAAGTAAATAACATGTCTAGGAAGACCTGAATTAATCATAAAATTTTTTTAAAAAATCATAATTTATTTTATTAATTCAATCTGATCAGGAGTTAATGGATGGGTGGACCTTTTCTTTCTTTTTTTGATTTTAGTTTTGTTAAGAATTCTATTATTTATTTATTTTTCTTTTTACAAATTTTTATTGTTGAAAGTATTACAGATGTCCCCTTTTTTTCTCTCATGACCCCTTCTAGTGTCCCCATCCCACCCCCAGCCTTCACCACCCTATTGTCTGTGTCTATAGGTAATGCATAAACGTATATAAATTATTGGTTAATCTTCTCCTCCCTTTTGCCCCCCCCCTTCCCTCTGAGATTCGGCATTCTGTTTCATGCTTTTATATCTCTGGACCGATTTTGTTCGTTAGTTTATTTTGTTCATTAGATTCCACAGATGAGCGAGATCATGTGATACTTGTCTTTCTCCTACTGGCTTATTTCCCTTAAACAAAACCAAGCTCGTGGTGCTTAACAGAAACTGCATTTGATGACGGTACCTGCAGTGCACGATCATGGGGCCTCTGCTCTTGGCAGCTTGCTGTCGGACCACGTGCACGAACTGCAGGATGCTTTCTGCAGCGTTGGCCGTGGGCACACCGTGATCAGGCCACGCAGTGTAGTTAAAATGCGTCACGTCCTGCATCTCGTCAGCCTTTAGGAGAAAAGGCAAAGCAAGCATTAATCTCGCAGCCCCCTGGCAGGAGGGCCTAGGTTGCCACTGCAGCTCACATGTGAATGGCACAGGAAGGTAAAGCCACATTCCCCTCCTGGTCTGAATACTTCCCTTTCCAGATCTGAGCATTGTGTCTGGCACAAAGCAGGATCTGGAAAAAAAACATACTCATGTATAAAGCTTCAAATAGTAGGATAAATGGGCTAATCCAGGCCTGTGTAGAGATAAGAGTTTAAGCAGATTAGGGTTTGCATCCTAGCAATTTAGCAATTGCATCGGCTTTGGCCAATGAGTTAAACACTGTGGAAGGTGCTCTTGGTGCCCCTTGGGTCCCCCTTCCCAGCGGCTGCCAGCAGCATAGAGCTGCACCCTTCTCAGAGTTGTCCCCCATCCGGGGGAGCTGCCTTTCTGGAAAATGCCCAAGACCTTGTGTTCTACTGCTCCAGGCATTCTGCAGCTAACTGGTGGCTGATAACGGGGCACAAAAAGCCAGCGCCATTATGGCAGATGGAACAACTAAATCTAGGGTGCCATTCATTCCCCAACACCCTCCCTGGGACCTGGCTGACGCTAGACTTCAGCTGAACTCCTAGCTGTGTGAGACTTCTTCCTTGTTCTGTCCTATCCTGCATTCCTTGTTCCCTAAATCACCTATTTAACAACCCCGGTCTTGGTCTTTGATACTAGCAGGCTTGACCCAAGGCAAACTCACTAATACCAGTGTTCTCATATCAAAAAAGGGTCTTTTCAGATGTTGCAGGATAACCTCACCTGTAACAGGGCTGTTGTGGGGATGCAGTGTGCTCATGTTTGTGAAGGACGGTACCTCTGAGCTACCATTATCGTCACCACTTCTACATCATTCCTGCCATCACTGCAGCAGCCCAGGGCACTCAGACAGTTGGTTCTGGGAATCCTTGTATGTGGGAATGTTTTGTATATTTGTCCTGTTCAGATTAACTAATAGGTCAACTCTACAGGTGTGGACAAAAGTATGTTTACTGTGCCATTGTGACATTCTTTTGAGTTAACAGAGCTACTGCAATAATCATAACCTGCATGCCTTTTTCCGTATGAACAACTGTAAACCTATTTTTGCCTACCCCTGTATTGTTCCCTCTGAACTGAGCAAATGTTAATTAGGATGTGGAGCCTTCAAATGTCACTCTTTTTAGTCCCCACTAAATTATCAGCATAAAGATTTATTTTGCTCTTGTTATCAATATTCCAAATCCAGGCCTCACAAGGAACTAATTCATCCCCCTTCCCTCAAACTTGGTCAGAGCCCAGCACCCACTGAGTGGATGAAATACTCTATCATCATTTGGACGAGTTTGGCCTGGCTGTGAGTTTGGAGCTAAAGTTTAGGTTCAGGTATTAAAGAGAAATGAATTCTAAAGAGTCAGTGGTCTTGGGTGGAGTAAAATTTGTATAAATAGAAATAAACGCATAAATGAAGTAGATTAACAGATATGTAATAAGATGTGTGTAAATATAACAAAGTCAGCACTTACTAGACCCTCTGTCCCCTTGGCACCTAAGGCCATACACCCTCCGCTGTACGCAGAGCCTCCCTCACTGCGGCTCTTTCCTAGACACATGGAGCCGGAAGTCTGCAAAATGCTGGCTGCCATCACTGCTGTCTACAATAAGTATGGCAAGAAAGTAACCCAAGCATAATAAAATGTGCATAATTATTCAACACCATGAGGGTTTAAAGATACTCAATCACTACATACTTTTAGTTGCCCAGAAAAGTTCATGAAAATGCTCATTCTTTTCAAATGCGGATGGCAGGCTTAGCACAAAGATTTGAACAGTGTTACATATTACAGTTGATCTGAAAATGTATGCAGCTGCCCTAGTAAAATAGTCAAGATCCTTCAAAAATAGGAAAAACTTAAATCAGTCACTAGGAGCAAGGCAGGGGACTTGGTATCAGGGTGACCCCTGCCAGCTGAACAGCAAGGCACACACCAAGGGAGCGAAGGGGTTAGTGCTGTTGTTTTTTTCTCCAATTCTTACTCAGTTCATGCCAAGTTTGAATACAGCAGGGATGTATTCTGTGGATGATGTCTGCACCTCGCCTGCACATGAACCTACTGTACATGCTCCAAGCCTGTCCTTAGAGAGGTGGCAGGAGGAACAGGCTGTGCTGACATCCTAGCAATCAGAAATCAGTGGCATTTCAAAAGAGATGTGGAACCATGATTAATAATGTCCTGAAGTGCCCTCACCAGTTTGGCTCAGTGGATAGAGTGTCGGCCTGGAGACTGAAGGGCCCCAGGTTCAATTCTGCTCAAGGGCACATGCCTGGGTTGCGGGCTCAATCCCAAGTAGGGGGTGTGCAGGAGGCAGCCAATCAATGATTCTCTCTCATTGATATTTCTATCTTGCTCTCCCTCTCCCTTCCTCTCTGAAATCAATAAAATAAAAATGCCCTGAAGTACCTTTGAAATAATAAAAACCAAACCAGAATAAAATAAGGGGAAAAAAACAAAACAAAACAAAAACTAAACTACTAAGTCATGGTTTAAGTGTTTAATTTAAAATGTAAGTGAGCCTTGCGTATGCTAATTATACTCACATAAGGTTAGTAAAAGTCATGAGAGCGTGCCCCTCCTCAGTCAGGCCTGGGAGCAAGGCCCACACGTCTTCTATTGCCCTGGATAACCTGCCATGGGCAGGGCAGTCTCTCCCCATCCCCTCAGGCCCTGCAGGCCAGCATTTCATCCCACCAGGCTCCATGACATGGGGAACAAGGATATTGAATGTGGGCTTTTCCTCTTGAAGGAAGCAGTGTTGCGAAGCCTGAAGTGCTCATGGTCTTGTTGATGGTGGGTTGGTCTCCTGACACCTGGGGGCGGGGGGAGGGGGAGGTTCCCTCAGCCTGGGGACAGCATCTGACCTTGTGCTTCGTGACTTACATAGATGATCCGGAAGTGTCTGCAGGCCCAGTCATCCTGCTCTTCCTCCGAGATCATCTCCACGGTGATGTCTCCGTAAGTGATGGGCTCTTCCGTGAACGGCCAGTAGTGGTCACATTTCACCTGAGGTGGAAACCACACAACATGTTCAAACCAACAAGCCGGGGGAGGCATGAAATCTGTGCTCTTTTAGGGAAAACGAAAGCACCTGTGTCTGAAGAAGTGTGTGTGACACTGTGAGGTGAAATAGGAAGCAAGAGCAGGTTCTGTGCGGGTAAGCACTCCATTCACGGCGGTGCGGTGCGGGT